CTGCTTCCGAAGCCTCCTGAAGTCCCACAAACTTGACAAAAGCGCATCTTTTACCAACGATGAACTATAATTTTCAAATCTTTTCGTAATGTTCGTCAGGGGCTCATACGATTTTCTTGTACTTTGGAGAAGCTTTACTATATCTACGCAATATCTCGTCTCATTTTGTAAACTGTGGAATTTCTTATGATTTTATGTAGGTAGCAAAAAATGTTAAAAGGGAGGGGGGGGGGGGGGTCGTATCTGACAAGGGAAGGAAGGTTGGTCGAAGTGGCCTTTTAAAATGTGATGTATACTACCTTGTAGAGCTTGGAACGCTGATTCCAAATCTACCTTTGCTATCTGCTGCGGGCTTCTGGGCGAGGAGTTATGAAGGTTTTTGTGAGTAAAAATCTGAATGCAAAAATAGGGTAAAATCAGCCGTAACCTTTCCCCAATGTTCAAAAGGCAGCAGCAAGTTGGTATATATGAATCAAGAGTATTTGTTGCACCGAGTGACCTGACTACCAATTAAGCCCAATAAAAAATGTTAACACTGATTTTAGCCTACTCCTGCATTCAGATTTTTACTCACAAAAACTTTCATAACTCCTCGTCCAGATGCCCGCAGCAGTTAGCAAAAATAGATTTGGAATCCGCGTTCCAAGTTCTACAAGGCAGTATACATCTCATTTCAAAAGGCCACTTCGACCAACCTTCCTTTCCATGTGAGTCACATCTAAATTTCTCCGGATTGAAGCTTGCTCCTGCAGTTTTGCTTTAGTACGAGGCCATCCTCCTACTGGGGACGAGTGGCGTAGTGGTATGAGGCGCCGCTATGACCAGATCGGACGCAGGTTCGATCCCCGCCCCTGGGCCAACCAAGCCCTCTACCCTCCTGGGCTGGTAAATTGGTACCAGAGTAATCTGGGAGGATAAAAGCACTGACTTGAAAACGGCTGGCCCCCGCAAGTCACTGTAATAGGCTCGCACGCATACAATTGCCTCTTCGACTATGAAGATAGTGTGTGCGTTCGGCGCATGCCCTCAGAGGGTATTGAAGACGCCGAATCCTTTATCCTTTATCCATCCTCCTACTTTCTATCCTAGAGATTTCAGGTTGTTTCCTATACTTCTCCGATGAGTTACAGAATTTTCAACTTAAAAATCCCAGTTTTTGCTTTTTAGGATCGCATCTAGATGTTTTCGAGCTCACTGCTCCTCAGTGGCTGAATTATACCGTGGCTATCCTGGTCGCTATACTATACAGCCTGTTCATTGCGGCCTCTTATTTTTCTCTGACCTTATTTACGAATTTTGAAAATGGCGTGCTCATGCACGTTCGTAACATCCTTCTGGATGGCATTGAAAAGGTTTTTTTTTGCAAAAAACCTGTGCAAAAGGTAGAAAGTAAGCTTTTTATTCAAAAGCATTTTTTATGCTTCAAAAAAAATCGTTTTTTCTCGCTGCGAAACTATGGTGTCGCCTACGGATTAGAACACGACACTGTCATCGTTGTCTAAAACGTTGCAATTTTCAGATAGTTATTATTTTTCTGTACAACTGAAATGAATGAGTTAGGCCGAACACATAAATGGCAAGATAAATTAATATTTATCATTAAATAATGAGTATTGTAAAATAGCCAACTATAATGACAATGAACCGTTACGTAACGCTGAATTTTTCTTGGTTGTAATTATGCTCTACCCAATTTACGCGGAATTATTAGTGAGGTTTTTGAGTGGTGAAGAATTACTTGCATTATATCTCCCAACTTGAAATTAGCTATCTTTCTCTGGCCTATAATTTTGTTTGAGGTCTACTGGCAGACTAGCTTTTGAGATTGACGTTCGTTTATGCAGGATACCGCAAAAGGAAGTGGGGGAGTAGGTAGGGGCGGGGGTCGTAAGCATGGGGTACCTTCAACGGGGGGGGGGGGGGGGGTGCGTAAAAGAGAGTCCCGGATCGCATCAACATGCTTGACCCTGCTCCAGGTTACGCTTCTGACAGAAATGTTGATCAAGAGGGGGGAGGGGGGGGGGGGGGAAGGAAGGAGGCAATTCCGGCCATCGTGTACCAAACGTATAGCTCGACCTGGCTCTTACCACCTATACTGCCCGTAGACGGGGTCCTGTTTGACAAATGTCCGAGCAATGACCAAGACACAGATGACGATGACGGTGACTGCCGACTTCAAAGATTGAATGGAACATGATGTACTCGAGGATGACTTTCGAGACCTAGAGCGAGACTGTGCCGATCACCCTCCCCCCCCCCCCCACCCGCCCCCTGCAAATCACGGCAAAATTCTCGCACCACTCTAAGTCGTTTTCTTTCTCCTCGCTTTTCTGCATGCTGCACTGCAGTACTGCAACCAGGGTCAAGCTAATGATGCGACTGTCGCAACGGGGGGTCGTAAGAGGGTATCTAACAATAAGGTGGGGGGGGGGGGGATCGTAAGAGGAGGTAGTTAGACTAGAATACCCTAGGCTTCAAAGGGAATCAAAAAGCAAGCAATTAGTTATGTTCTTTACAATAAATCTATAAAAAAGTGGAAATCAGAATAAAAAAGATAAAAAATCTGTAGAAATTCTCAAAAATAAAAACATTTACAAGAGCTCAAAACACTTTTGAAGGATGTATTATTTGATAAAAATGCTAAATTACCGATTGCCCTAGAAATCTTGCTTCTGAAGCCTTCCTGAAGTCTCACACACTCGACAAAAGAGAATGTCTTTACCAGCTGTGACCATCATAAGATATAAATCTTTTTGTAATGTTTTTTACGGGCTCATATGATTTATCTGTACTTTTGAGATGCTCCACTATATCAGTGCAAAATTTGGTGTTATTTTGTCAACTGTGGATTTTCTTATGATTTTATGTATGGTAGCAAAAAGTCAGGAGAGGGGGTCGTATCTGGGTCGCATCTAAATTTCTTCGGAGCTATCGAAGCTTGTTGGCTGCAATTCTGCTGCAATACAAGGCCATCCTCCTGCTTTCCCTCGTAGAAATTGCAGGCTGTTTTATAACTTCTCTGGTAAGTTACAAAATTTCAAGCTCAAAAATCCCAGTTTTTGCTTTTTAGGATGGCATCTAAATTTTTTCGAGCTTACTGCTCCTCAAGAGCTGAAACTTTTTCCTTGGATAGCCTGGGCATTATACTACAGAACCTGTGCTTTGCAGCCTCTCAGTCTTTTCCTGACCTTAGTTACGAATTTTCAAACTACCGTGCTCATGCACGTTTTTGACGTCGTTCTGGACGGCGCTCAAGCCGTTTTTTTTTTCGCATGAAAAACTGTGGAAGAGGTAGGAAGTAAGCTTCTTAGTCGAAAACATTTTTGTAGTTCAAGAATGTCATTTTTTCTCCATGCAAAAATTTGTGTCGCCTAAGGGAATCAAACTTGCTGGCCTGAAGTATGCCTGAAGATTCAAAAAAAAACTTGCAGAATCTCAAACATTATTAAAGGTGTGTATGTGTGCTACAGATGATGGACATACCCATTGGCCTAGAAATTCTGCTTCCGAAACCTCACTGAAGTTCTCCGGCAGGTGTTTTTTGAGATTGACATTCGTTTATGGGTTACCGCGAGGAATGTGGGCAGGGGAGGTAAGGGGGATAAATGAGTGAGAGTGGGGAGGGGGGGGGGGGGAGGGGGAAGGGGGAGGGTCGTACGGATGGGTACCCTCAAGGGAGGGGGGGGGGGTCGCAAATGAGGGTCCCGGATCGCATCAGCACGCTTGACCCTGACTGCAACACCCGATGTTGATTAGATGGTGCGTCACCGCTGTGAGAAATGTTGATCGGTTCGCAGCACGATGGTCAACCGATAATCAATATATCGATTCTTGGCGAACTACCGACTTACACGTGATGTATCTCCTCATATTATTATCGTCTGGCTTTGAAATTGTAAATCAATTTCCAATTTTTTACTATTATGCTCGAAGATCTTCATTTCAGCATCTAGTTAAGCCAACATTCTGTATATAAACCTATCTATGTCTCTGTCTTTTGAAAATTTCATTACCGTGATTAAATAAACTAAGCGCATAACTGAAATGAAATATGATAAAAACTGTTAAAAGTCCGTTTGTATGTAGAGTCAAGAGCATCAGAGCATTCGTGGTCAAGACTGCCTCCTTTTTTGTAATAAAGTGGTAGCTGTTAGACAAACGTAATAATTGCCACATATGACAGTGTTGTAAATTTAGTGCTTTGATAGAGTAAACACTATCAAGGACTGAGCATGCTCATGATTCTCTGGGCAATATGCTACCTAACCGTTTTGTGAACTCAGTCACTAATCCGATTCATTGTGCGAAGAAAAAACTTGTCCTAGAGAATCATATGATAACGACAACGGTTGAGGTTTCTTGAACAGACAATGTTTTTCGGTGATCAACTGACCCAAAGTCATGGAAATGTCCTGGTCACAGACTGGGCCTTCACGCAAGGAAGCGAAAAAAGTTCTTCTTTTTCAGGAACCACCTTACTTACAATATGTACAATTTTTCCATTACGACTTTGCATGTACGCAGAATTTCTTGAGGCTCGACTTCGACATAACGCAAGCGGGTCCTCTACGAGAAATTTCCCTCCTGTGTGTGATTTGTACAGGCTTACCAAACGCAGTGTCGCTTGCATCAGCATCTCCACTCCCGTGCTAGACTCTGCATCACTGCGTTTGATAAGCCCTGTATAATTGCCTGCTTATCGGCCAGAAATGCGCGGAAGCGATGTGGTGCGCGATGACAGCAGCCCTTCTTTGATATGCTCCTTACAATTTCATAGTTTTTTCTGATAAAACTCAATGCGTGTCTTAGATCAGTTGTAAGAGCTATAAAAAATCAACAACTCGCAGCAATTTGATTACAAGTTCACAGGATGTGTTACTGATGACGTCACCTCTCTGATTCAATGATCAAAGAAGAGTGTAAGGCGCTCTGTAAAATTAATCAATAAATGTCAAAAAATGAGGAATGAACACGACTGCACGAGCTATTTAATTTATTATGTGAGCGATATATGTCCCTATTCAAGCAGTTTTTGTCGACATGCTTAGTTCCATCAATTGCTTACAATGCTACCACATAGCCCGCTGAACTCCACTCAGTTTGCTGTGATCGGCCAGCTTCCTACAAAAAGAAAAGAGCTGACGACTTGTATGCAAAAAAGGCTACAATTTACCTGAACAGATGTCTGTTTAGTCGGTACGGTTTTATCTTTCCACGCTGTCGGCCAGTAAACATGCACATGTTCAAGACCAGACGTGGGATGGAGTATTTTGGCATATTAAACAGCTCTTCAGCTGCACCATCTCTGATAGCCTGTAATAAATGTGCTTTCACGCTGATTTCACACCTTCACATTCTAGAGTAACATGAGATTCTGGATTCAGCAGGAAAAAGTACCTGAGGTAAGACAGTGTTGCATTTTAAAGCTTTTAGCCGCATTCGGTCAGCTCCAACTTCGTGTATCAACTCGCGCCGCCTGAAGAAATGATTTCATTCTTAGCCAAAGAGTTTTTTTAAACTAGAGGATCAACAAGAATCAGTATGACGAGCAAGCTTGAGAAATTACTATCTTTTTATACCTAAACTTCCAAGCGTAAGTGGAAAAACTAACCTTTGATTCAACTGACTTGGCTTCCGGAAGGCGAGGCTTTGTGAATTAATTTAGGCCGCGACGCACCTGCGTCTCACTCGCGCGAGTCTCGCTAGTCATTACCTAGCCTTAATTATTTTTTATATATTTATTTATTAATTTAATACGCACAAGGCGTGCCACATTTTAAACCAGAAAAGAAAACGAATATACTCAGAGCTGAACACGGATAAACAAACAACCAGAAAAAAACCACCAACAGATCAAGTCCGGTCCCCAGATGTGTTGAGAATGAAGGAGGGCTAGCTTTTGGACATGTACGAATATATCAGTAGGAAGCTCGGTGGAGTCTGTCTCATGCCCCCTGCTTGTAGCAAAAGTGCTCTTAGATTACTCAACTAAAGCAATGTATTTGCGGGGACCGCGTGTGTTGATATGATATATGAAATATATAAATATGCCCGACTTATTCTGGGGAGAGAACAGTACTCCAGGGTAATATAGCGGAACGAGATAGACAGGCCTGACAAGCTAATCCCGAAGTAACGAAAGGGCGAACCGGACTGGGGTCAACGGGTGGGAGAAGTAAAGATCGAAATAGCGAATGATTATCAATGGAAAAGGGTACATGGTTCCAAGTTTGGGCTAGCGAGCTGTACTTTAGCTTAGGTCACAAAGCCCCGCCTTCCCGAAGCCAAGCCAGATGAATCAAATGGTAAATCTGTAATTTTAACTTCTCAAATACAAGTATCAGCCAGAGGAAATTGTCTACAGATAACATGATTCCACGGCACTCTGATGCAGACCTCCAAATTGATAATGGCAATTACCACCGCCTTGTCCAAGAAAAAAGTCTAGTAGCTCACCTCACATCTCGCAATTGACGCCATGTAGCCCAGAATGTCATACGTTTTCCCTTTTTCCACCATTCGCGTTCAACGTAGAACGGATACTGGTCAAGTCTATTATCATGAAATAACAGATAGAAAGTACACTCAATTCAAAGAGTAAATCACTTCAGATGAGCGATAGCCTCTGCAGAGTACTTTTCCGTATGCTTGGGAACAAACTCCTTCTCTTGTTCCTCAACTGGCTCAGCCTCGTTGACTGTGCTCTAAAAACAAACCATTTTTGTAAAACTATGAAACAACAATGCAGTAGGGGGCTTGTCGATTGCAACGTCGACGTCTATGGATGCGCGATGGGGGTAGCCATGCAGTTTCTGGTTTCATGCAGAATGATAGGGGTTCGAACGTGGATGTATCGAAGCTAAGGCCCTGGCCAGACTTCGCTCAAGAGCGCTCAAAAGCCCCCAAAAGCGTCCAATCTTCTCTAAACCTCTCCTCAGTCTCTTCCATTTTTCCTCACACGAGAAAGTGAAGAGACACCAGACAAATTTGGACGCTTTTGGGCGCTTTTGAGCGAAGTCTGGCCAGGGCCTAAAAATTCTCAATCGGATGCTCATTATACTCAAGAAAATTCAGAAAATCTTCCAAACATGCAAATATCAAATATCATCCGAAGTTCGCAACCTGCGAATTTCGACTACTGGATTTCGATGGAAAATAGAATAGAGCAAATGCAGCGTGCATGTTACAATTTTTTTTAGTAGTAATCAAATCTGAATTCTCACCGCTTCGGGAACGTCTGATGTTGGATTCGATGACGTAGGTGCTGTAGGAGGCTTTGAAGAAAGGGTGCGCTTCCAAGCAGAAAGCAGCAATCGCTGACTATTGGTCAACACTCGTAGCATTTCTGAGACAACGATATCTCAAATGATCAACCTACAAGTCACATTGATAGTAAGGGTTTTACCCAAAACCAAAGTACTCTCGAAAAAATAGAACATTTTATTCGATCATAAAAAAAGAAGTCATAAAATAACTAAAGCATGACTGACTTACCAAATACAACGACCGTAAAAGTAGAAAAGCAACAAAATACAAACAAATCGAAAAGAGAATTGAGTTCACCAGATGACCAAACATAGATAATAACTTCCCGTAGATAGATACCACTTTGAAGATATGAGCAGAACACTCATCTAGCACTTGCACGATATGCTTCAAAACCATACGCATAAAGCAAATTGTCAGCCAACCGAAATTTAACCGTTGACACACGCAAAAACCTCTCACTCATCAAAGTGCAATCTTGCGGTAGGTTAGAGATACGCAATGTGCAGCAGAAAGACTAGAACTACTCCTTTTCAGCATATAATATTTCAAAAAAAAAAGCTTATATACATATAGAAAACAGGTGGATCCAAATGCCAGGTTCCAAAACCTCAACGGCATTACCGAGGATAAGGAAGACAGATACAATAATTCAATGACTAAGGGCCTATGCTAAGCCATTTGCAGTTCTATTAGCGATAATGAAAAAGAAAAGAAAAAACTCAATAATATCATCATGACAAAACAAGCTACTACTGCGCAAGAACCATATAGCCAAATATGGTGAAACTAACAAGATTATAGAGAAAATGAAGCTAACCTTAGACCAGACGACCACTGTATCATAGATGAATTAGTGCTCATAAAGCGCCCATTTCTCTTCAACCGCTTTGTTACAAGCCTCATGCGGACATCTCAAAGGCTTTCCTTGATGTTCATTCACACATCGTACTACGCACCTACAATTCAACATGAGATCTTCAACACCAAGCATTACGGTGTGGTACTCACCCGCAGGGCACTAGGACATATTCGTGTTCTGTATCTCCAAATCGGCAGTGGTCAATTGGACAAGGACTGTCACGCAATCGCGCAATGATCTGACGACTGACTGAATTAAACAGCGGCTTAGAGTTCATATGAATCTAGCTATCAGATGCAGACAACAAAAGAAATGGAAACAAGCAAAAAACGTACTTCTTTTGGAACAAAAACATGCTGCATCCGGCTTTCCTTTGAACCATTTACTCCAGCACTCCACACACATGTAGTGGCCACAATCAGGCACCACAACCTTGAATATTCGATTCCGGAAAGTCGTCAACTGTTATTTTTGTGAATGCGCCAACGGAACAGCAGTCATAGGAGACCATTTGAATCAGGTATTAGTCTTTTCAAAGAAAAAATCGCTTATCTTCACATGATTGTTTCCCAAACTGTTTTGTAAACGTATACTGAATGATTCGCGTCAATGCGCAATTGAAGGTCGCGATTTCTTTTGAAGTTTAGTTTTGCAGGTATGCTCACAACTCTCTAAGGCTCGGTCAGAGTTCACGCAATTTGATCGTCGTTATTCAGTCGCTCCAAGACAAGTGTTATGAGTTCATTATATGCCCCGCTTGTATCTCGGTTGTGATAGTTAGTCATGATTAGTCGTTTGGAAAACTATCACAACCGAAATGCAAGAAGATCGGCATGCAATGATATCGTCACCAAGGTCTTGTCTTGTCGCGATCAATCGCGACGATCAAATCGCATGAACTCTGTTCCGAGGCCTAAAGCTGTGAGAAAAGCGCTGACAAAATCAAGATTTTCCGTGCACATATGTGACGCCACCATCATAATATGAAAAGCTTGATTAACTATTGCACGCAATTTTACTCCTGTAGGTTCAGTGCTCAAGGAGCGTGCAGTAAGAATGTCAAATTGTTGCTCAAGTCTACAATTGACTTCTTGACTTTACGCCCAAGGGATTGGTCATACCTCGTCGCCGCGCGATTTCTAATTGCTACGATTGTTCATAATCTTCCGTAGGAGCATACTAAGCCAAATTTGGCATGTACGCATAAGATTACAGAAGCTAAGCGCCTACGCACTTGAATTTCACACGCGGTAGATTTGCGAACATCTGGCAAATTGCATCGAGCATCGCCGCGATTTTGGAGAAATCGCGCGAGGTATATTCGAGGCCTAAGGCCTGGAGCATAATTCATGCGATTTCGTCTCGCGATCTAACGAGAAGGCCCTGGCCAGACTTCGCTTAAAAGCGCCCAAAAGCGCCCAAACGCGCTCAAATTTCTCTGATGTCTCTTCACTTTCACGTCTGAAGAGAGATGACAGAGAGTGAGGGGAGGCTAGAGAAGTTCGAGCGTTTTTGAGCGAAGTCTGGCCAGTGCCGAAGACAACTGTCACGCCATTGCATGTCGATCATCTTGTATTTCGGTTGTCATAGTTAGTCACGATTAGTCGTTTCGAAAAACTATCACAACCGCTATGCAGGAGGATCGGCATGCAATGAACTCGTAACAGTTGTCTTGCTGGGAAAATCGCGAGTATGCCGGCCTAACACGATCTGATCACAACAAGTAGGAAGTAAACAGATAGGCATATTTTCATGATTGAATAGTTGTACCTTCGCTGAAGCATGATGTTCAAGCATTAGTACAAGCTGGATAGAACTCAAGTAAACTCAGACTCACCCTATCTTTGTAGTTATTGCAACAAAAACAATGACGGAGGCTTCTGGGAGACCCATTCATTAGGTAATCAAGATAGAGGTCATCTCTCAAGACAACGAAGTTTTTCTGAGAATATTTTCTCAGGAGCAAAAAAAAAGATGGCGTGATAACCATACCTTAGCCGATTCCACGATAAACGACAATTTGATAGAGCGGTCATATTTCGAACATAACCATCGCGTCCAATCAGTCCTATTTTTGCCTATCCTGTAAAAATGGGACTTTGCGCATACTTTCCGCAACTGAGAAAGAAGCCTATGAAAAGCTACTCGGATGTAGATCACAGATATTAACCTCACATATACTTGATCTTCACGAAATTTGAATTCCACTTGGACCGTGTCGCCACGCATGATACCTCCACTAGCAAGAGAATCAGGAATGCGCTTTCGGCCGAAACTGAAAGCTTGAATCATTTTTTGACAGCATAGATCAACTAAAAAACAATTATCTATAGATAGGAGAAAACATAGTAAAAAGCAGATAAGATGTAACTAGTTGGATAACACCTTCTGATTATGTGCATGATCCACCTAACTGACATTTTTGTTGAACCACATAAAAAAGCAGAACTGTAAGATTATGCACAAATATAACTTCGAACGCTCCGTGTGGATTCCTTAATTCCTTGGGCACGCCTTGCGCGAGTTGGCAATGTCATGTGGTCATAGTTCATAGGAGCTTCCAATCAAAACGATGCTTGCGTGAAAGCACAACGAATTAATCCGGTGCACAAGTATTCTGCATGGGTTTCATATATTTGACAATTCCAGTATACGCGTAATAACGTATAGTCTATGTCCTGAGATAATATCAATATGTCCTCTGCTTCTTTGGACGCGCTGTTGTAGAGCATCATGATTCAATGCTTCGTAAGGCCTCGGACAGAGTTCACGCGATTTGATCGTCGCGATTTAATCGCTACAGACAAGTGTTACGAAGTTCATTGCATGTCGATCTTCTTGTATTTCGGTTGTGATAGTTAGTCACGATTAGTCGTGTTGGAAAACTATCACAACCGAAATGCAAGAAGATCGGCATGCAATGATATTGTTAAAGTTGGCTTGTAGCGATTGAATCGCGACGATCAAATCGCGTGAACTCTCTCCAAGGCCTAACGAGGCAGAAGTGTGGAGGGCATTTACAGCGATGTTAAAGACTGGCCAAACTATTTCTGTGATTCTTGTGATATCCGTGTGCGGATCCCATAACATGTATACTGCGGAACAAGAATGTATAATGGAATTCGCAATGCGCTCCGTAGTGCGGCACATCGGAAGTCGAGGATGTAGGAATTACAGGGATCGCTCTCAGAAGACCATAACTCACTCTTTTCAAATTCAAATGATACGAAAATGTGTAAATTAGTCTATCATAATATCATTTCTTTGAAATCTGATAACTAGTGTTTTCCCACAAAATTAGCAAAGGCCAGTGCTAATGCTGGCAGCATGGCGATGTATGGCCAAGCTCTAAACGCAAACCTCTCAGGGATGTGTTCATACTGATCCCGTAGTCCGGGAAGAGTTCTAGCACAGCGCTCAGTTCGAACATTGTGCTGGAATTACCGGACTTCGGAAACAGTATGAACGCACCCTCAAGCGACGGAAGAAGACATGATATTGGAAGTCAATTATCGCAAGGCACCAACTCCAAATAATTCCCCCACCTCCAACTTCGCTTATGCAGGGTGACACGATGTAGTTTCACTGTAGGAGTTTTAGCTACAGTCTGCCCCAATTCTAACCAGGCCAAAATTGGCATGGCGGGAATCCGCGTCGCGAGGGTTTCGCGCCACTTCTGCAACTAGCTGGTCTGCTCTCTCCTCAATCTCTTCGCTCTCTGCGACAGCGCGCGTATGCAGCGCAGACCCCTAGCGCTGCGAGCGCGCAAATTCAGCCGATGATTCGGCCTGATCCCGATTGGGGCAGACTATACTGCTTTCTATCCGCCTTCAGCGGGGCTTTGCTCATATGTCGTTGTTGTTAAAGGCAGCGTCCAGGCAGAACTGGACCTATGGGGTTTTTACGTGGAAAGTACTTATGGGGCCCTAACTAAGGCACTGCCCAAGCGGCAGCGCAGGTAGTGCTCTAACCGCTGAGATATTCCCCTCGAAACTGGACCCCGCAATCGTATTCGCATGGATTCATGGCAGTTTCGCGCCAGGACACACGCTTTGCGCCATGAATCCATGCGATACGATCGCGGGGCCCACTTTCGAGGGGGATATCTCAGCCGTTAGAGCACTACCTGAGCTGCCGGTTGGGCAGTGGCTTAGTTAGGGCCTCGAAACTACTATCCAGGTGAGATCTCCATGTGTCCAAACTTGCCTGGACGCTGCCTTTAAAGGCAGTGTCCGGGCAAAAACTCGATTTTGAGATTTTGTGCTTACCCGGGCCTATTCGCTACGCTGAATCCGAAAATCCACACTGGAAAGCGCGAAAACGGCGAAAAAGGGCTCTAACGCAGGAGGCAAATTAAAAGTGGGCGGGGTCTTCTCCAGGGAGAATTCACGATCCCTGCTCCCAAAGCGATCTTTTCGCTTCCGATTTCAGATCATGCATTCGCACTTGGTCCGTTGAGATGTCAGGGCTGTTAGTGGGATTGAAAAGATCGCTTCTGAAAGCTGGGACCGTAAATCCACCTTGGGGAAGACCCCGCCCACTTTTGATTTCACTCCGGCGTTAGAGCCTTTTTTGCCGTTTTCGCGCTTTCCAATGTGGATATTCGGATTCAGCATAGGGAATAGGCCCGGGTAAGCACAAAATCTCAAAATCGACTTTTTGCCCGGACACTGCCTTTAAGTAAACAACAATCTGAGCGAAGCGATTTTACTACATCAAAATATATGCAAATGTTAAAGTACTGGTGTAGGACACATCAGCAACAATCAAAGTAAATTTCAAAAAGTAAAAAACTGGAAGCAACTATAACATGGAAAGATATTAAATTAACTCATCCAAATTATAACAGACAACTCACTTGAACGGCCTATAATAATCCTCCATTTTCGTAACACTGATGTTCCAAATATCTTTATACTTGTAAGAAGCGAGTCCCATTATAGGGACTCGTTTCAGATCATTCTGTAAATAACGATATTGTAATGAAGTGATGCTATTTAAAACTGGTGAAAAAATGACATGTCACCAAAACACATTCCCTTCATATTGGAACTGAAATAGAATCACAAAGTGAGGACCCGCAAGCTCACCAAAAAGCAGATATGGAGCACATTATGTCTTCCCGAGAGGTATGTCGCGATGTTCGCATCACAGATGGTGACAACGAAGTTCTTATTGTAAGGATCAGGAAAAAGTTCTGCTAGTTCCATACCTGCAGAAATACAGGATTATAAAAGTCAAACCAACATCGTTTTTGACTTAGGCGTCAAAAAATAAAAAGTGCGTAACGTCCGCATATACGGACTTTGCATTTAATTTGACGCCTAATATAAAAAAAATGAGAGTTACTCATGTCTGACCGTCTTTTCGACTCGAATGTATTACGGAACCCAACCGGCATATGCTGAAACTGAGACTTCAAAAAGTACTCCAAAGTGAAGTTCAGTGATCACAATGAACCAATCACGACCAAATTTGGGATTTAGGTGTTTTGGAGGTCCTTCTTTTCAGTAGCAATGTCTGTTGCTGAAAGCTAAAAGTATGGTTCCAAAAAAGTATTCTAGGTTGAAGTTCAGGAATTTTAGTGGACCGGACATGGCCAAAACTGGGATTTATACGTTTTCGATGTTCCCCTTTTCTAGCTATGGTTCTTCGCATAACAAAAAAACAATAAGCTTTTTCAAGAAACTTTAAAAATTCAAGTTCAATTTCAGCAAAATGTTCAAGGTGATGGTTAGATAATGAGCTCATGCCAAAATCATAAGTTCCTTTATTTCGATATTTCGTACCATAATATACCTACGACATCACTAACCTCGCAATAGTGCACAGCTTGTAGCGAACAAGATTGTAAATAATCTTGCTTGATAATGGATCTATGAATAATCATGAGGCATCTCCGAAACAATTACAGTCAACTAGTTATGGCTACATGAGATACAGGCCACAACCATTGTGCGCCTGCGGCATTTTGCCCGAATAAAACCTTCATGAGGTCAGAACCGTGCAACGCGGGGAAGAGGAGATCGTAATCGAGTATCGTTCGTTCGCTTTCACTAGAGTGGGCGGACCACTGCAGACATGACATGACATGTAATCGGTCGATAAACCTCCATCCTAGAGCATTGTTTCTTGTACTCTCTCGCCATCCAAAGCCGCCGCGCGTGTACGTAGACAGTGCTCCGCCCACTCTAGCGAAAGCGAGCAAACGATAGATACATGCACTACTGTTATCAAATACAAACAAGTTTCTAGTGTCACCCACAGATAATTTTAAAAAACAGGCTCTCTAGTACTAACCGTTGGGTTCTGATTTTCAAAATTTGTTTGTAACTCTTGTGTCCTGACTTTTATGCAAAACAAACATTGTTACTGAAAAGAAGGACCTCCAAAACAACTAAATCCCAAATTTGGTCGTGATTGGTTCATTGTGATCACTGAACTTCACTTTGGAGTACTTTTTGAAGTCTCAGTTTCAGCATATGCCTGTTGGGTTCCGTAATACATTCGAGTCGAAAAGACGGTCTGACATGAGTAACTCTCATTTTTCTGATATCAGGCGTCAAATTAAATGCAAAGTCCGTACTATGCGGACGTTACGCACTTTATTTTTTGACGCCTAAGTCAAAAACGATGTTGGTTTGAGTTTTATAATCCTGTTGCAGAAATGACGTTAGTGATCGTTCCCAAGAGGAAATTCGGTCGATGAACAGAATGACAACGTCGGACACTGGTCGATATATGAGTTTGGTAATGAACAACGATGTAATCTAGAATAGACGTTGGAGAACGAACGAATTGGAGGACGTTCACGAACTCAATGTGGGAAATGAGACGTTTATCTTTTCCTGACAAAACATAGAAAATGCTTCACAACTTTCCATTGTAAATAAGTAATGTGTGATAAAAGTAGTTCCACTATAGCCTGTTGGTGGCAAATGCTACTTCCACTTTGTATTTTCTCAATATCGAAAGCTTTCCAAACTTATCTGAAGTGTTATTCACGTGCCCATGGGTATGAATCAATAAAAAGAACTTTTCTTAGGGGCAGAAAGTCAGGTCCGAAAGGGTTAAAGTCATTTTTCTTCCTTCAAATTTAACGAACACATTCCAGAGTTGTACTGATTATCTAACTCAAAGGTGCTAAACATATTGCTGATGAGAACAAATTATTGTTTGAAATATCGAAATTTTAAACCCCAACTTTCCATCTGTGGTTCATGAGAATTCAAGACCTCAAAACATCATTTGTTTTTATCAGCAATGCTTAGCATCTCATGTCGGTTGCGGGGACAAAATGCCCATGAAATTATGCTTTTGCCTCCGATAGACAACGGCAAAACCTCTGTTTTGCATTTCGCAACGACCCAGGCGGTGAGAAGGTTCATTTCGTCAACGTATACACATAGGGAACGTTCCCACAGACATAAAGCAAGTTTGAACATAAACACGCAATCCAGTAAACAGCGTAAACGTAAATGAACAACATACGGAAAAACTGCGCCTCGGCAGTAGAATATGAATGAGATGGCCGTTAAGGAGTGAAGCAGAGTACGTGGGCCATAGGCAGATGATAAATGCATATAGGGAAGAGTTAATACCAGAATTTACAGACGAAACTATACAGGAGCCAGAAACGCATTTCTGCCTGGAAGATGCCAGGAGAGAAACAATATAGGCCATACTGCCGGAAATACGAGATACATATGAATAATGGAAATATCTGCGGGAGTCTTACATCGATTCATGATACAGAGATACTCTCACAGTCCTGAAAATGACCTGAAGCCATAAAAGAGATACTGCTTCCAACCTGAGGCGAGTATGATGCGGAACATGCCAAAATAAGAACAAGATAGACCAACCAGAGTAATAATGGCAGGGAGATCCTCTAATGCCGAACACGATCTGACAGAGACTGATTGCTCCTTGAGGCAGAGAAGCGAAACAAAATGAGAAAATAAGGAGATACATAGAGCACCCGCAGAAAATCGCAACGCAACTTTCCGTAGAATGAGGAGCAAATTCCGTATAGCAAAGGTTGATTATCATAAATCGCAAATTAACGGTAAATGACCTGAGATAGCAATAATGATCTGAGAACAAAGTCCATAACGAGCTCCCTTATCAAAACGATGATCAAATGACCGGCACACTTCGGTGTGCTATTCACGCTATGCCGACAAAGAACAAGAATAGAGCAATGTCCAACACGACGAGACAAAGCGAAATCCTGTAGGAACGGATATAATACAGGCACCAATCAAAGAGGGCTGGGATCTACGTAGCAAGAGAAGGCCTCGGCAGACCGCCATCGTCCGACGCGCATAACATTGGCAGGGTGACTCCCTTCTCGGACTGCTGCAGTGGCTGCTCCTCCTCTAAAGGAGTGCGATGTAAGGCACCTGTGTTCCAAGCCGGCATCCTTGAGCACTCTTTTGATCCTTCGCGAGATGGTGTCCCTTGTTAGTGGATGAGCGGATGATCGGCTAAAAATATATTGATCCGGGTTTTGCGGCAGAAACTTCTCGAAGACGCTCCATAGTATAAGAGCGGGTCCCGTTAGCCGGAATGCGACTTCCGAACCTCGTCTTTCTTGGTCTGTTTTAGATTTTCTAATTGTAAGGCTTTGGCCATACTTCGCCCGTATTGCCGGTGTTGAAAGTGTTGCCGGTGTTGAAAGTGTTGAAAGTGTTGAAAGTGTTGAAAGTGTTGTCAGTGTTGAAAGTGTTGAAAGTGTTGCCGGTATTGAAAGTGTTGAACGGAGGTCAAGGTTTGGCCATACTTCGCCCGTGTTGCCGGTGTTGAAAGTGTTGCCGGTGTTGAAAGTGTTGAAAGTGTTGAAAGTGTTGAAAGTGTTGAAAGTGTTGCCAGTGTTGAAAGTGTTGAAAGTGTTGAACGGAGATCATCAGTCTAGCAGTTTCATTCTTTCTCGAACGATCTCACCGGCTGGTGAATACATTGGAAATGGAATTGGGGAATGAGAAATGAAACTGAAATGAGATGGGGAATGTTTTCGCATGCAAAAGATCCTCAAACAAACTTTTTGAAAAGTGGACGGCTTGTCTGGAATAGGCAATCTCCAATATTTGAAAAAGCTGAAGTCTGAGTAGTAATGTGTGTTTTAGTTCGAATCCTGCCGCGCTTGCGATTAGTGAGTAAAGGACCTAAGTGAGGTTTGCAGCGTTTTCCTATTCCAGACAAGCCGTCCACTTTTCAAAAAGTTTGTTTGAGGATCTTTTGCATGCGAAAACATCCCTCATCTCATTTCAGTTTCATTTCTCATTCCCCAATTCCATTTCCAACGTATTTACCAGCCGGTGAGATCGTTCGAGAAAGAATGAAACTGCTAGACTGATGATCTCCGTTCAACACTTTCAACACCGGCAACACTTTCAACACTTTCAACACTGGCAACACTTTCAACACTTTCAACACTTTCAACACCGGCAACACTTTCAACACCGGCAACACGGGCGAAGTATGGCCAAAGCCTAAGCCACCATTCATTTTCGCCTTTCCGAGACAAGTCTGACACTCGAATTTCGCACAATTCCCCCACCCTCAGGAATGCAGCAAAAACGAGCAGAATCATGGCTGCCCCAGCTATCGCCGCGAGCGTTTTTCGCTACAACGCCCAACTAATGACCGCATCAACATCTTTTTGAGTAGCCTTCTTTCGGTGCTTCGCTGGAGGGAACGTTCGCTTTGCTCCGCGCACCAAAGCCCTCAAGATCTCGTCATCCTCTCGTGGCAGCGGGCCAAAGAAATGCGCTAGTGCCGCAACGTGGCAACCTAGGGACCTGATTTTGTTCTTGTCGATCAGGTGCGCAACATATACGTTTCGGAGTTTGTTTAGCGCAGACACAGGGACTCCGAACTTCGCGATGAAATTGAGGAAATCCTCTTGCACTCTTCTGTAGATTCGAATTGTCCCTGGTGCCAGTGCGCTGTCAAAACATGATTCAATTAGCTCCGCTACTCTCTTCAAGCCTGCGCCCACAGCGATTCCAGCCGTCTCTCCGGCCCTTCTTCTTTTAGCATCAATGAGCCGATCTGAACGAGGAACTGGTAGAACGTTCCCAACTGACTCATTGCACGCCTCTAAGGCACACCATAACCCAGCACAAGCTCTTACGCTCCCAATACTACGAACCACGCGCGCAAAGCCCCTAAGCTAGCCAAACCGGCACCGTTACCGATCCTGTCAATCCTCGAATTTTCACGCCAGATTTACCCGCGCGTACCAGGGTAGCGCCGTCGCAAGTATGCCGACTACCATGCGGGCACGCAAGTCATAACAATTTCGATCTTCGCAGCCCCAGACCAGGGAGGGTGGGTGGGTCCCACGTTGACGAAAGACCGGAATGAGGAAACCCCGGCCAAGCACGCGTTACAGTATCGCCCCGCCCCCAACGCGTGCTTGGCCACCAGCCAAACGCGTTGCGAAATAGCAAAACTCCATTTTTAGGCGTGAGATACGGTGCATATGTAACTGCGGAGGCACGCATCTAACTTTACAACTTGACGGTAACGATTATCTTAGGTTTAACTTTTATGATTTTGAATTTTTTCATTAACTTTGAGAAAAGAAAATGAGTTTGAAGAAATGACAGTTGACCGCCGAGGATAATCAGGGGATTACACAAAAAGCTGGGAAATGCGGCTTGTACAGCTCCTCGCTTCTGTCCGATATGTTCATAGTGAAGGATGGTGGGAGTACCCACTGATGGGTAGACAGTGTGAAATCCTGATATCTGGAGCATTAGGATATGAAGTTTTATTTTGAAGCTTCGGATGGGCCTTTTCTTTGATTGCGGGATCTGAATCGACCCAAGGAGCGCAAGTTGTTTACTATTTTTGTACTTTCGGAGGAGCTACAGTCGGTAGCTCTAGGACCGTTGGGATAGCGGCGTAAGCCAGTTAGCAAACAACCGACTAACGAGGAAAGTACTTTCAATGACCATGGTTGTTTGATATGAGATGCATACCATCTGAAGCAGCTTCGAACGCTGATTTTAAATCTGCTTTCTGTTTCTGCGGAACGCTCTTCTAAAGAAAGTTATGGAACCCTAAACATCCTATTTTGGGGGCGCTCCTTGAGTTTGAGGGCGCTGCTATGTGCGTTGGTGGTGCAGTAGTGTAATGATTACTCGCTGACATTCAATGCGAGAGGTTGATGGTTCAAATCGGTGGAGAGTGAACTATTTTGCTTATTGAATGTGATTTCAAAGGCACTTTATATCGTCTGCAGACACTTACTGTAATGTCTGAGCACAAACAGGAGAGAACATCTTTTCGACTAATGACAGTGTACATTTTTTGAGCTTTATGTGGTGACAAACGTGCTAGGCCATGTTTGGTCCTGTTTTACTAGTAAGGGAGTCAAATAGAATTTCAGACTCTCGTTACAAGTAGTTTTGCCAGAAAAATTTTTTTCCTAGGTCACTTATGCCAAAGGCATTGCAGTAAGTGTCTGCAGGCGATTTAGAGTGCTTTCAAACTCACATTCAACAAGCAAAATAGTTCGCTCTCCACCGGATTCGAACCACTAACCTCTCGCCTTCAATGTCAGCAATTAACCACTACGTTATTGCACCACCAATGCACGTAGCAGCGCCCTCAAACTCAAGGAGCGCCCACAGAATAGGATGTTCAGGCTTCCATAACTCTCTTCAGAAAAGCATTCCGCAGAAACAGAAAGCAGATTTAAAATCAGCGTTCGAAGCTGCTTCAGATGATATGCATCTCATATCAAAAGGCCACGGCCATTGATAGTACTTCCCTGTAAATCGGCTGCCTGCCTCCAGACATTTTTAAAGGGATCATCTGTCGAACCCTCTTCCCAGGGGCGTCTTCAGGTAGTCATTATTGATACCGACATCTGTCATACCACGTGCTCAATATTTTCTAGTAGCTTTTGATATTCTGTGCATGATCACCATCCTAAAATCTACGAAGTTGAGTCGGTGGTTCATTATGAAGTGAATAAAAGCTTGCGGCAAGGAAGATCATGAATGTATGTAGTTTACACGATTTATGACACGCAAAGACTGGGTGCCGTTGCGTCCGACCAAGATAGTTCTTGAATAGAGGAGACAGCAGATGGTAAGAAGTACGAGAGAGGCTTGATCAGAGAGACGTCGATAGGTCCGCAGTCTTTGCGTGCTATGCATCGCCTATACTTGACGACAATGTGAGTACGTGATCAAAAAGCCGAGTAACCTGGCAACGTGAGTTTTCAGCGAATGGAGATTTCAATCTTATCCACTCTGCGAGTTCATCTATTGGGTTAGCTAATAAATATTTTAGTCGCATTTGCGGTTCCTACATGCCGCAGACAGACTTTTGTTCGCCGTTTGAGATTTCTGGAAAGAGTAGAAATGAAAGGAAAATTATGGTCAAGTAGGATGTCTTTCTCAATGAAGTAAAGTTTGCAAAGAAGTGAGAACCGAATTTTTTTTATAGGGAGCACATGTAGAGAATTTTGCTTCTCTTGTCGAAGAAATTCAAACTGCAGTCACATTCATTACTGTCATTCGCTGATTGAGAAAACTTGTATGTTTGTAGATACCAAATTACTGCTTCATCCATTATAGCATGAAAACAGTGCTCACAAGGGAATGGTCAGAAGTCGAAGTGGCCAAACGAAACAAGCTGTGTATCATTCGATGTAGTATAAAACGCGCTTCTGTGGACGAAGCTACAAGCGGTTTTATTGTGAAAAAATCACACATAATAACAGCGAAATTGAGCACATTGTTGCACTTTTAGCTTGGCTTCTGGCTTCAAAAATTTTAAGTAAGCTAGCTGCATGTTTTGGCCCAGCATTGAGGCGAACGAGGCTCTGTACGGCTGAATTTTCATTTTTACGCAAAATTTCTAAGCAAAGCAATGGTCTTCAATGGCTTATAACTTCGTCCAGAAAAGCGATAAGCAGATAGAGAAGACAGATTTAGAGTGAGCGCTTCATGCTGCATCTAACGCTACACAGCTTGTCTGGAATGGCCACTTCGATTTCTGACCAT